GTCAAATTATTCCTGATTCCAATTTAAGCTTTTCCCTCTCGTTTGGTGAATGAATGTGAGTTAGTTACATTTTATTCAAGTCCTACAAGCACACTGCAGGTACGCAGACTCAGAAGAGACAAACAGTTGCCTGTTACAAATGTGATGTATCTAAGAAAAAAACAGAGGTGATTTATTTTTTTTAAATTCCAAAACACAACTAGAAAGTATCTGAGAACAGGAACAAATTTGGCCTGCTGCCATCATATCAGGTATTTTTACAATAAGAAAAAAAATCAAAGGAGGTCTTCAATAATAAAGAGCAATAACCTGAGAACAGGTAGGCTCGGATTCAATGTTTAAAGCTAAACAGGAACTTTCTTCCACATTTGCTTTTCTGGAGACTTTCCTTACAAGTATCTCATGTTTCTAAACCAGTTCTCTCTTCCTGACAATGATGCAATCTTTCCTCACGTCTTATCTTCTGTATGCAGGATGAATTTAAATGAAATTCAGCACCATTTCCCCTCTCCATTCAGATTTTTACTAATGTAATTTTTATTGGCAGTATCTTCCAAGTAAAAAGGCAAACGGTCATTCATGTGCAGTATTTTTGAGAAGCAGCTACAATTACAGGAAAGGACACTGAACTGGTGATTCTAGAGGCAAATCTATTACTTCACAGAATACAAGATACATGAGGTATAAAGAGTATTAGGTACTGCATCCCTGCCTGTAATTGTGACAAAATATGGAGATAATAATTGTTCTAAGTAAGAAATTATTCTGAAGTTCTACTTCCACTTAGTCTTCTACTTATCTGCTGAGGCTTAAAATGGTACCTTTGGGCATGAAGCCATCTATTACAAGCTATGATAAACAAAGCTTTACAATTTTTTTTTAGTATAAACTGCTGTATAACTAGAAATCATGTGTAAAAGGAAGACAATTGCACTACAGATAGAGCAGCAGACTTAAGGGAGAATTTCACATCTGCTACTGTGATTTATGCATTGAAGAAAACAGAATGACAAACTGCTTTTTTTAATTAATATTCGGTTTTTTAATTCTCTGGAAAACTTTGCAAGTTAGTCCCTTAAGAAGATTTAAGCCACCAAATTCAGTCCCTTCTAAGAACATACAAAAGTTTGCTGATGACTGCGTCATTCTACCTCCACCATCTCTTCAAGCAGGAGATGCTTCTCTCCCACTAATGTTTACATTTCTTCTATGACCCTGCTTAGTGATGCTATTCTTCATCCATTTCCCTCAATACTAATCTTATGTATTAAAAATAAAGTTTCTCATGCACATAAGTACACGACGTGTACAAACCATGCAATGCAGTGTATAAAGCAACAGATTTCTTCCGGAATAGATAATCTATAAACATGAACTTTTATTTTAGTTACTTAGTGGATGCATATATATAGCTGCACACGGTACCTATAAGGCATCCAAAAAAAAGTTTAATGTCTTAAAGAAACATCTGTATTAGTTTCTGTGATTTTTTTGTTTGTTTGTTTTATGAAGTCGACTAATGGAGCAATAGGACAAGAACAAAATAGTGAAGTCTGCTCAACAAAAATGATAAAATAAAAATACATATTTTCTCAGTCTTTCTTATAAATGATAACATACTGTTCAAGACTGTCTAACAATAACTATGAAATACTGCAGAATGTCATACCTAGAAAGTGAGATAAGGACTATTATGACATACATCTTGCTTTATCATTGAGTGCTCATGAAGAAAATTAGATCCATTCAAGCATTTCAGTTTGGAAAGCTGTCACACACTAGAGGCTGATGGTCAGAATACAGAATATAAATCTTCCTATATTTTTGAACTATTCAGTTGTCCAGACTGCACATTATCAGTAAAACATGGTGTTTCTACACACACTGCGTCAGTGATGACAGCAATACGCAGGCCTCAACTGCAGTAAAGAAATCACTTTCAGGGCAGTTCCCTGCAAAATAAACTGCAAACATCTTCTGGTAGCTATTTTACTTCAGAAGATTTAAAACAAAAACCTTCCCTTCAATTCTGTAATACAAAACTCATGTTGAGAGATGAATGAAACATGCTTCTGATAGTTCCACCTCGCTTTGAGAAGCATCTTCAGAAGTATTTTAGAAAACCCAGGAGAAATACTTTGAAAACTGTAGGCAGATATGAATAATGATTGCTAAATTTTTCAAAACAATTGTTTTTTTTGCTTGTTATTTCCTTAAAGGAGTATTTTAAAGTTTAAACATATCATGAAGATTCTTGAACAAAACTTTGGTGAAGTTTGATGTCTCCTAAAAACTGCATGTAAAGCTTTTAAATTCTGCCTCATTTCAAGAAAGTAGCATATCACTGAATGCCTCACTTAGCTGTTTTCTACCACTGCTGACATAAAGTCTCCTAAATCTAGTATTGTTAAAAAAAAGGTTAATTTTGGCTAGTCTTTTATTCAAATGTTAGCGCATTCAGTTTCAGCATAATGAAAAGCCAGTTCTCCAAGTCATACTACGTAAGAAGAAATGATGCATGCACACACACACACACACACACACACACACACACACACACACACACACACACACAAAAACCCAACAACCTAAAAGGAACAGAAGAAAATAAGGTGCAAAGAGCTGCTTTATAGGACTCTTCAGCCATGAAGGATATGCATTCTGAACCTTTGGATTCCAGGGCCTGAACTACTGAAGGTTCATGTAGAAAATAAGGGAAGAAAAGACCATTTGATTGTATCAGCACTGGAGTCTATTATCCGTGACCAAACACAGCTGCCTGAGGGCATCAACAAAGAGTGCAATCAGTACTGTAATGTACTGCAACATTAGTTCTTAGAGTGAAGATCTTATGCAATATCTTAATATGGCACTACTTTCTACCATTATCTTGATTTGGCTTTAAAATGCAATCTATAACACATTTCCAGGCTTTCACCTCTTAGGATTCTGCCTATGAATTCTGAAGTGTTGTCTTCCCAGTAGGCATCCTTAGAATCAGAGAATCCATGGAATCATAGAATTCCATAGGCTTGCATCTTGGGTCAGAAGGGATCTCAAGGATCATCTAGCTCCACCTACCTTGCTCCATGCAGGGCTGCCATCCACTAAATCAGGCACTAGGTCAGGTTGCCTAGGGCCCCATCCAAACTGGCCTTGAACATCTCCAAGGACAGGGCATCCACTGCTTCTCTGGGCATCCTGTGCCAATGCCTCACCACTCTCTCAGAGAAAATTTTTCCTGTCATCTGATCTAAATCTCCCATCTTTTAGTTTAAAACTGTTTCCCCTTGTCTTATCACTATCTACCAGTGTAAAAATTTGATATCACTCCTTCCTCCTTGAGAACCCATCCAGAAATTCATGATGCAGTATTTCCCAAGAGCCTTTGTTACTAAATGTCCCCATAACACGATCTCTGGATTGTTTCTCCTTGAGAAGTCAGCTACACAAACTTTGATGAGGTTGAGATCTAATACCCAAAAAGGGCCAACCTGTTAGATAGGAATCCTAATTGCAATACTGTTACTTTTCCCAGGGAATATCAAGAGATAATGAAGGTGTATAAACCTTCCTGGTTCCACTTTTTCCTCAAAAAAGCTATGTAGGATTTTCTTTTCTGGCAAGGAGCACTTACCCTGCTGCCCCTGCGGTGTTTGTGAGATGATGAACTGTGCTGGCTGCAAGTTGGTTGTTGGATGCACCAACACAAACTGTTGCAGGTTGAGATTCTGTTGCTGAAGCTGCTGCAAGTGCTGCAAATCCTTAAGGAAACAGGGGAAGGGGAAAAAAAAAAAAAAAAAAAAAAAAGAGGAAAAAAAAAGAAAAAGGAAAAAGAGCTGTTGTTACACATTTATGTCAGCCATGATTCCTAATTAAACTATATGTTAAATATAGCAGTCCTGCTACTAAAAACATCTTTTAGACTGGTACTGTGAATTTCACTGCTCTACAAAAAAAAAAAAAAAAAAACCACAAAACCAACAAAAACTGCTTGCCAAACAACACAGCAAAAAAATTCTAACATTGTTCTGCTTTAATTTAAAAAATATCAGTTCCCCGCCCCCTCAACCAAAGCGTCTAAGTTGCCAAATACTTGTCAGCACTTTCATTTTTCGGATTTATGTTTAATGATGCAACTTCTGCTACAACATTTGTTGTATTTGTTAACAAATCCAGCACATTTTCGCTAGGAGCTACAAGGGCTGCTCTGAAGGTAACGTCTCCTATTTTATTACGTTGGTCCACAATGCCAGAGGCAGATGTTGGTGGTATGGCAGTAGAGATTGAACCCTCCCATCAATATCCCATTACATGTTGCCATGTGACAGATAGCAGCAGATGGGCAGTCTGATATGAGAATACATAAGAAGCAAAGGGGTGCCACTGAATTTCTCTATGTGGAAAAATGGCACCCACTGACGCTTGTTGAATGTTTATGGAGACCAAACAGTGGATGTGAGCACAGTGAGCCAGTGAGGTGGTGCTTCAGTAGCTGTGACAGAGGCAGTGGATTACTTCCACTGGTGCAGATTTTTACGAGCATGGCATACAGGTTCTTGTTTATCACCGACAAAAATGCACAGCAAATGGTGGTGACTGTTGAAAATAGCGTTTTGTTGCTGAGAATTTGCCCTATCAAATAGCGTTACTCTGCTCTTTGTGTCTGTTACATTTTCCATAGAAATAAATAGGAGGCATTGCTTTCAGAGCAGCCTATGTATTTTTTGTTTATAACAACAGTCTGCAAGTACCATTTTAATAGTAATGGGAAAGCAAAAAATTATATAGATTCCTTGTTTGCACTTTAGTTGTTCAGGTCAAATTTTGAGAAGCAGCTAACCCAAATAGTAAACAAATACATCTGATTAATTTTCAATCAAATTACAGTAAGTGTAGTAGACACAGCTAACCAAACACTGCACTATCGTAGAACTCTACTTTTATGTATTTAAGCCATTCAGACCTGTTGATACATTTTTTTTTATAACTGGTTTTGACATAAATGCTGATCTCTGAGAAACTGAATCATCAAGAAAAACTGATTGATGAAGAAAAATTCTCCAGCTACACTTGTTTAGCTGGAGAATAAAAAAGCAAAGCTATAAAACAAAAATCACAGCAAAATAGCCTTTTAAAACTTCTTCAGAGAAGGAGATAACAAGAGTAACTGAAATTTGAAAGCTGAAGCACAGCATAAAGTTAGCCAACAGAACAGCAGCAATCTGCATAAATTATCCATACACACACACAGAATCTTTCCCAGAAGAAGCTATTTCAAGGAGTGTGCTGCTTGCCAAGCAGGTATATGAAATCAGAAATATCTCCCACATTTACAAGTTCCAATTAAAACAAAATCAAAAAGCTGTCTAAAACTTTCTTTCAGGTAAGTTGCTTAGATACTCAAGTATCTGCTTGTTGACAGAAAGCCTTAGCCAGGTCTACCAGTGTCCAAAGGCTAACAACATCAGGCCAATACTAAACCAGCACTCAAGTATGACTGCATGAACAGAGCTGCTCATGTTAACGTACCTCTAAAGAGAAATGAAAGCAAGTGAGACTAACAAAGACCTGCTTCTTAATGCTTGTAAACTACCATGCATTTTTGACTGATGCAGGTTACTAAGCACTCACACAAGCTGCTCTGCCAGCAGATATGAAAGGTCATTAACTGCTAAGCAGCAGAGACAGGGCTGAAAAGTCAAGACAGTGTCAAGGATGACTTTTTATGACAAACAAAACAACCATTTGCAATATATATCTGTCTGGGTCCTTATGTTATTTTTAAGATGTTAAACTAAGACTTAAAAGCTCCAACAATCTTCTGAGGAGGTGAGATGGGAATGTCAGAAAGGCAGCTTAAGGAGTTAAAGAATCCACTGACTCACGAGACCTCAAGACACGCATTACAAGAAAATGACCACTTAACCTGCATTTATAAAGGCACTGGCCATCAGCCACTTCATCAAGTTAAGTCAAAAGTACGCTGAATAATAATATGGCAGACAGACACCAGATGGCACTGACCAAACAATGGAAAGTTCTGTTTTAGAAGAAAATGGCAAAATAACAAAAAAGGCCTCATGGAACAGGGTGTTTTTAAGTTGATAGTACTGTTTGCTTTTGGAAAATTTGGGTACTGCAACCATTCCTACAGAACTGAAGCTAATTTCCTTCCTTAAAAGATAGGCTTCCTCCTTTTTTTTTTTTTCCAGGAATGTTCCAAGTTTCTTCTGGCTTCATGTTAAAAGCTATACTGGCCAGAAATGTTATTAAAATCTCCTTGTGTTGCTCAATGCAACATAAACCTCTTCTCATTTATTGATACTCATTACTCTCTACTGGTCACCTTTCCAGACTGAGCAAACCCTCCAGAACAGTGGGTCTCACACAGACCTGGATGCGAGGACTAAACGTAGAAGAAACAGAACGAGGTGCGAGGTGACTATGGCTGAGAACCTTGGGGGAAAAAAAACAGAAATGAAGAATCATAGAATCACAAGGTTGGAAACGAACTACAAGATCATCTAGTCCAACCGTCTCCTCACCACCACTGCCACCACTAGTACTAAACCGCATCACACAGCACATCATTTCCAGACACCTCTTGAACACTGCCAGGGACGGCGACTCCACCGCCTCTCTGGGCAGCCATTCCAGTGCCTGACCACTCTCTGAGAGAAAAAGTTCTTCCTTATGCCTAAGAGAGGCTAAAAAATGAAAAGAACAACAACAACAAAAAAGTATAAATCCAAAAAGCAGAGCTAAGAAGAAAGTTTTGAGGAAAAAAGTATGAACAGAGATAGTGGGCCTCCTCCCCTAAAGCAAGCTAATTAGAAATTCCCAAACAACACAGTATATCTGAAATGATTTGAAAAGCCACAAGAGAAAGAAGTACGTATAAAAAAAAAAAAAACAAACCAACAAACCAAGAGTACTAAAAACCAGGACGGGGTATATGGTAGTGCAGGCATGTCCAGCCTACGGCCCGTATGCAGCACAGCCCACAGTGTGAGCCACCCCATGCTACACCAGGCCCTCATGGCAGTGGCTCTTCCCACTGAGCAGCCCAGCTGGGCCTCAAGCACCAAGAGAACATGAGTGTGCTGCTAACCCCAGCTGGGCTGAAGCCAGGGCACGGGGCACAGCATGGTGCCAGCTCAAGTGATGGCAAATCATCTTACGCATTTTGATACACTAGCTAATCACAGTCCTGTGAACAGAGAAGAATAACGCAGCCATGCTTTCCATGTTGATAAAGGAATTCGAGAGTAGGTCACATATTCCACTGATTGGTTTTGTGGCTTTTTTTTTTTCTGGCTTTGTTCCTCTTTTTTTGTATGTTTTAATAACAACCGTTAAGAATCAAAACAAGTTTTGTAATTTATAGACATTGACTACGTTATATTTTATGATGGCTATCCAAAAGTAATGCCTCCTATTTTATTACGTTGGCCCACAACGTCAGAGGCAGATGCTGGTGTGGTATGGCAGTAGAGTTGAACCTTCCTGTGTTTTCGCTGTATGACAGCTGGCTGACGAAGGGGTAGTCTGGCAAAACGGTGTCTGACATGGAAGCACATAAGCAGCGAAGATATGGAACTGAATTCTTCCATGTAGAAAAAATGGCACCCAATCAAATTCATCAACACCTGAAGAATGGCTGTGAAGACCAAACAGTGGATGGCAGCACAGTGAGGTGGTGAGAGGTGCATTCCAGCAGTGACAACAGTGACAGTGAGTCACCTCCACCAGTACAGATTTTTACAAGTGTAGCTTGCAGCCTCCTGTTCAACTGGCAAAAAAATGCAGAGATAAGGGTGGTGACTATGTGAAAAAACAGTGTTGTCACTAATAACTTGGTCAAACAGTATCATTGTGCTCTTTTTATCTGTTGTCATTTCCATGGAAGTAGGAGGCATTACTTTCAGAGCAATGTACATATATACAGGCCAAGACAATTACTCTTCACACAGTGCGGACCAGGCAAGCCAAAAAGTTGGACAACCACACCACAGCATATTTGTAAGATCAAATAGAAGAACTTTTTGTTTAAGGGTATCCAGTTAAAACATAGTAGCTCTTATTGTCAGACTCTAATCTCACTTTAACATGAAAAAACTTTAAAAACTGAAGTGTCAAGAGAACTGGTATAAGTAATCTTTTTCTCTAAATCTGCTTAGGTAAATGGTATCTTGACTGAGTCTTGTTTAAATATAGAAATAAAATTATGTAACTTAGAATAGAAACACCACCTTCAAGGCAATTCACTCAAAAAGCCCTACCAATCTTTCAAATTCATTTGAAATCCAACTTTATTTCTACTTCTGGAAAGATTTATTATTTTCTTGTAGCACTACAAAAAAATCTCCTGACATCAACCATGTGAACAACTTCTGACACAGTTTTCCTAGGCTATTCCTTGTTTTCCAAATCGTAATCTGTATAATTTCACAAGTATGTAGAAGGAGAGGGACAGACTTCTGAGGAAACAAAATTTTCTGGTGTTTCCCATGAAGTTAGAAGGATCAAAGCAATCCAATTCCTATCTCTGCCAAGAAGAGTGGCATATTTTGACATGAGGACTTTTTTTTTTTTTTTAAATCCAAAGCTCTAAATTCAACACCATTATCTTAAGTAAGAACTTCACCACAAACTTAAGTATCTCTGCCATTTTGAAATTTACATCATATAAACTCTGATGATGCACTCTGAAAAGAAGCAAAGAAGTTTCCAAAGAACTCAAAACTTGGTACAATTGCTTAGTGACGATTTAGCATCAGCTCACAGCAGCAGTACTGACACCTTACCAGATTTCTGCAGCAGATATCTGACATTAACCGCAGCGCACATTAAAGAAGTCATGCTTGTGCAATTAGCTAATTAAAATAAATATGGTAATCCCCCTGCTGCAGAGACCTGCCAGTTAATCAATTATTCAAAAACCATAAAATAAAATAAACACTCAGCTATTTGTGTAATCAGCTGTGTGTTTACAATAGCAACACAAAGCTGAGCACCGTTCACAGAAAGGTGTTGAGATGGGTCAAAAAGCAAAGTGGTATCCAACTACAAAGCTAGACTGTGTAAGTTTTCCATAAAACATCACAAATTATGTCCAACAGCTGCACAAATTACACCCTGCACTTTTATGATAAGAGGAAGCAAAATAATCAACCAAGCTATGCATAAACTGGAACAATCTATCCTGAAATGAACTGTTAAACCTAATGTTTAAGAAATTAGGAATCTCTCAGTATGTAAGTGAAACTTTTAATTTGTTCCACTTGCACTACAAATACACTTTATATGGTGACAACTGCATGATCATTTGCTATTTGTTTCCAGAGAACCTTTAGCTCATTCAAGCACACAAAATCTGATCTTCTGAAGTGAGTTGTCTATTTGATGGCACATGCTTGATTGTTTCAACTCTACTCAAATCCTTCTCTGAAGACTTTGAAATTCTGGAGAAGAAAACCCACAATGCTGAACTAGTAATTGTAAATGCTTCACATATTTTCACAGCATCTCAACACAATGGAAGAATAGGATAGTAACACCTCACACACACACAAAACTGCCTCTAGAAGTATCAACCACATTGCTGGCATATTTGCAACAAGTGTAAAGCCAGAAATGTCAAGGTACAGATTTGATGTGAAATTTTAACACTGGTTCAATAAAGCAGACCTCACTACCTTAGATTGCACATGTGAAGAACAAGAGGCACAACTATGGATCATTTAAGTTTACGTTAAAAGATTTGTAGAATATCAGATAGGAACTCTGACAGATGCACAGATTGCAGCTGGATGCTAAACATCAACTTCCTCTTCCACTCCTTCATTGCCTACAAACAAAGGCTTGATAAAACAGAGATGGTCTCGGGTATTAAGTTCCCTTGAAAGTTACATTTTTGATTCACCTCCAAATCATGACATTGAATTGGGATCCTTTGCTAAATGCAGTCATTTGTTCACGTGACTCAAGTGTCACAGTGCACCAAGAAGCTTAGTGGGCTTTTGGTTTGGCACCACAGTGGCCTCTAAAAGGACAGCCACAGAGGTCAGAACTTTCAGACAGCATCACAGAGCCTGTCCATTTCAGCCAATGCAAAACTGATGATAGAACCAGGCTCTTACTCCTCTGGTGGACTACTGCAATAAAGGAACAGCACATTTCAACAGTGGACCTCACAAATAATTGTGACGTTTCCATTGTTTTACTTAATCAGCTCTCATCTTCACTTAGACACTTCACCCCAGTTGAATACAAGAGAAAAATATTCTGAGGTCAGCCAGTCTTAAAAGGCTGCTCACTGTAAGTAACCGTGGAGATTACATACCAACATACTTTGCACAGCTAGACCAATCAAACTGCAGTATTACATACCAAGAACCTTAGCCTATGAAGAGATGGAATCCAGTGTTGGCAATACAATCACCTACAGGTAGTACTCATGATGTTTGTGATCTACACTTGGTTACCCTTGTCCAAAAGTCTACAGAGTTTCAACACCACACATGCTAAGTTTTGAGTCACTGGCGTTGCATTCTCAAAACTAAATTCAGACAATACTGAAAGATTAAAGTAAACAAAATTTCCTTGGCAAGCAGTTCTTCAGAGCAAAGAATTAACAGGTCCTTAGCAGCAGTCCATAAAATTGGACAGATCCCAACAGTGGACTCTTTCTGGCAAGATTTTCTCTGGAAAAACAGGAGTGCTGATTCTTTGTCACTCTACTCTCAGTATTAAGCACCAAGTCAAAATAGCAAACAAACCTGTCCGGTTGCCTTTATTCAGCTCTCTAATTACTGTTGTTTGGATCCGAGCAATATCTTTTGTGATACTGTAAGCATTCTACCCTATACATAAGTCTCAACAATGGTATTTTCTATGGGCATCTTTCTACACTCATTTTTCTCCCTTTCAAGCTAACTACAAGGAAGGAAATATAGAAAATATCCCATCTGGACAGATTCTCGAACTAACTCAGGAGCTCAATGGAACTGATAAGCAGCTGGCTTACATTCTTAGCTACACCTATCAATCTCAGAGCTAAGGATGAACAAGGAAATACTAACAGTACCTCAAAGACTCTGGACACTCAACTGAATAAGGAATAAAAATATTACTTCAACGATGCAAGTTGTTAAACCTCATTTTCCACCCTCTCAAGCCTCACCTGTGCAATCTGTATTGGCTGAGATAGAGGGATCTGCGTCATCGGCGTTGCAGCAGAGGCCGAGATGGTGGCACCAGCAGCGCTGTGCTGCTGACTGGCTGAATGCTGCACTGCAGCTGCCAGCAACTGTGCCTGCGCCTGTTGTAGCAATAACTGTTGCTGGGCTGGCGTCAACGTGAGCTATAAATAATTAGAAAACAGCCATTAATAATGGAAAGAGCCACTTTAGCTACAAAGTCATTAGCTAGCCCATTACTAGTTATATTAACCAGACGTTCCTAGAACTATTAATACAGCTTAGCCTTGATCTAGTCAATGACTTTGGCCTTAAATAAGGTCAGCTGGCTACTCAACACATTGCATGAATCAACCTACCACAGAACTGATATAAACCGAACCACATGAATGGAAACATTTGCACTTACTGGAATCCACAGAATCTAATTTTACTAAGTTTTCTCCTCAACTCTACCAGGAGATTCAGGAAAAAGGTAATTAAGTAGCAAGCAAAAGAAAAGAATTGCATTGCCAAGCCTTGAAAGAAAATTTACACCCAGAAGAACAGCAAGTGATTAGCCAGATGAATGAGAAGCAGGAATGTTGGCTGTGGCTACTGAACAAACTGATAACACCCCAGCTGCTTCACATTAGCATGAATCCCTGCCATATTCCATCATTTCCATTATGCCCTAAGATATAAGTAAAGAACATGAGCTCCATTTGTTTTTCTCCAAGTCTCCCCATCTGCTTTTTTTTTTTTTTTAATTGAATAGAATTGGCAAGTTTACATCCCTTTCCTTTTCCAAACACACATTATCTCTGTGAAACAGGTGGCAGCAGTCTCTCCTTTACATGTAAATGAATCTTGACGCTCACATTTACTACAATCCATATCTGCATAGACCTGGAGTCCTATGTTTCACTACTGCAAATACTCAAAATAAAAGAAACTGATATGTTTTTAAAATGACAAAAATAAGTTATTAAAACCCAGCTTATTATTAAAACAGTCTTACTTTCAAAACCTTCAATTAAATTAACCAGAACTAAATAGGACATTGGCTGCAAACTAGCTTACAAGATTTAACAATTGAACATGAAATTAAGACAATTTCATCCATCTGCAGAGATGACCTAACCTAACAATTCAAATCCTAAATACTTCACTAGAACAACTGTCTTACATTCCTTATTAACATCTACACCGTTAAAGATGGAAAGTTGATAACACAGAAGCAAGATGTCTAACCTAACCAGCCCATTCATAGAACTTTCTTTTCTGTTTTGACTAAAGGCGTTTAGAACAATTTAGAAACATCAGTAATCCTTAAGCAACAGCTTTTCCACAATTCCACAGAAAACCTTGCAATTAACAACTCAGAATTGGTAGGCTAAAACAGAGGAGTTGAATAAGCTCAAGGCACAGATCACCACAGTTACTTAAAAAGAAATCTGTATGAGAAGAGAAAATTGATGTCAGCAGTTCCATCGTTTTTGTTCCTCATAACTCAAGTATCCAATACAATTTAATCTCATGCTTGCATGTCTCATTTCACTCTTGCAGTAACATCCTCAGCAATTCATTTGGGCACACCAGCTTTGAGTTCCACTGTAGATGGGTTTTTTAATGCAAATACTCTGTAACAAAACCAGACCAAAGGGTGCCTTTCCATAAGAAAACATTCTCCCTCTTGGTCCTTCTTTTACACAAACTTCCTCCTATGTGAAAGGAAATGACAGTAACCTTCTCTGATAATTCTACAGGGACAGCAGTACTGCCATCACCTGCCAGACAGGAGGCTTGCTACAGTATGCTTAGGTAAATCTTACCCCAGTGATCTGTCCTCCGGCCAGCATGAGCTGGGTCTGGGGTATGGCCGCCTGCACTGAAGGCTGCTGGGAAGGCTGGCTTGGCTGCTGAGAGTCCCCAGATTCTTCATTAGATTTAGACTAGGACAGAAAAAAATACAACTCTTTATAGTGTAAAACAGATGTTAATGTCTAATACTGCTATGTGAACAGTGCACAATAAAAATCTTTCATCTGCATACAAAAAGCGCTTGGGTTTATTTTAAGAGTGGGTTTAAGCAATGGCTTTATATGCCCACCATCTCAGCGATGATTGCTCAAACAAGTCTGTAGGTAATGCGGTTTAAACAGAAAGAGACTCGCGAGTCATTCGTGACTCTGACATTATTTTCAGATCTCATTTCACTTTATGCAATGCAACTGAAGCTGACGCTACTTTGCACCATAAAGAAAAGGTTGTTAAAATTATTCATTGCCTAAAATCCTCAACAATAGAAAGAGAGAAAGGAGATTGTTTCTATTTTCTGTACCTGCATACTGGACCTCAAAGTCATCATATTGTTGGCTGACAGAGAACTAGTTTGAAAAATCCTCATAGGTTTATCCACTTATAAAAAAAATGCACAGTGCACACAATGCTTCTAAATAATCAAAGTTTAGTGTTTATTTAATTAAATGCTGCTTTATTTTAAATGGTTTGTTGTTTTTTAAACAGAAGAAATTGCAAAGACACGAGGGAGGAAATGCAAGTGCATGAAGAGGGGGAAGAGAGTTTTATGATAATTAAAGCTGGTTATGCAGAACATTAAAATTCTGCATAGATTTGCATATTTTCCACCACCTGTTTTGGGGACTGCAGAGCAGGCTAATTAACATAAAGGCTCTGATTAATTCTGCCAGTCATTGAGCGATAATTACAGCGCAGGACTGTAAACATTCTGCACTGGAGATACAGCCTGTTTGCCAACATCTCTCTCAGGGATGGAAGTTTACCATGGCAACCGAGGCAATTTTCTGCCTCCTTCCTCTTAGAAAGGAAGGTCACTATACCTCCTCTTCTTTCCAGATTGTTATTACGTATAAGTGCGTCCACATTCTATTGCATTTCATGTAATGCACTACCTACGTTCTTTAATAACAAGCAATGCTGAAACCAGTTTTCAATAATACTATGTCCCCTGCCCTTTAATATAGTACTGAGAGGAAGTGGCACATTAACTGATACACTGAAGCGTTTAGCATTGTAAGTTTGTAAGCTTTGCTGTTTCACATACATTATTGAACAATTACTCTGACTTATAGTAAATTTACTATGTGTTATTTATACAAGCAATCTATACTAGCCACATTACATAGCCAATCTTATATTATACCTCTATATCCAGACACTAGAAATAAAGGCAAAGTAATATTTGCTATGTTGAAAATAAGTTAGGTGGAAGAACACGAAACATTCCTAGGATTTGAATGGTCTTCATGATAAATTACAACACCTGAAAGTCAGAATAAAATGATGATTGCTGGATGTTTCAACCATCTCAGTTTCTGAACACTTACAAATGCTGATCCTCATTTACACTCATGGAACTATATCCATCTATACCTATCACCTGCAAGACCAATCAAAATGAGGAAACAAAGCAACATCTCATAGGTTCAAGACCATCTCTAACAGGACCAAAACGCTGTCTGGAAAGCAGAATAAGAGGAGGGCAAGCAGCAGATGGAAACAGTTTTTACCTGTACATTTAAGGACTGAGCAGCAGCCTGTAAACTTGTTCCAGCGAGCTGGACCTACAACACAGTGCAAAAACAGAAGTGATGTTGAATCTACAGGAAACTAAGTGTAAGAGGGAACTACCCCATTGCAACAAAAAATTACCCCGAGAACATCTCTCCTTCTAACGCTTCACTCACAAAAACTCTTTCAGTCTTATTTGTCCACCTCTTGGGAAAAGTATTCCTGCCACAGGATCCAAATACTAAAGCGAAACTGAGTAGAAAGAGAGCACTTTGGGGTTGACAGTCTAACTGCTCCTATTACTGTACAAATATCCACACCTCAGGGGAGGGAGCTACGTCCTACTCATCATCATGCTAATGTTTCAGAATGGGTCTTACACAAATATGCACATTGCACTCACTTGCATCCCCGTAAAAAAAAGAAAAAAATCACCTGCGTAGCACAAAACCCACAGCATAGAACATTTCCACAGATCAAAACATTCAACTGCTTGCAGTCCTCAGCCACTGAAAAAAAACATTAATATAGAGGACTGGAAATATTTTACAATGGTGGTATTGATTCAGGTATACTGAAAATTTGGATCCAGTGTGGATCCAGCGATAAACAGCCTAGTCCAAATAAGCTCGAGTGTTACCAGTGAAAAGTAACTGATGTTTCAGAAACCTCACTAAATAGTGTCATTTATCTACAATAATGATTTTTTTCTATATAACAAATGCTAAGTTTTTGTTTACTAAAGACTCTTTTAATCAATCTCTCCTTGTTTCTACCACTGCTCCTATTATACAGAAGGAACACTATGCACTTAATTACCAACACTTTCAAAGGTCAGAGTAACAGCCTGTAACAAAGTCCATCTTTGACTATGTTTGAAAGTCACAGCTCATTTGAAAATGAGGCAACAGATGAATAAAAAACCAAAACCAAATCAAAATGCAGTACTGGCCTCTATAAAAAGATGAGCCAATGTAAAATACTGTATAAAAGCGTAAAGATATCTGTAAACATAGGAAGAAGAGTTTTAATTTAAACTGAAGTATGTTAAACTACTAACTGAGTATTTGAACAGGCAAGCCTTACAAGTCACTTTAGAAGTATTTTCTGCCACCCAGGATGAAGTCCTAGTAGACTCACTAAGCATTTTCTCTATGTAAGCAAACGTTCTAAAGAAAACTCATCCTTACCATAAGGAAAGCATAGTTTGACAGTTGATGATGAGCTCTTAAGTAAAAGCAGAGAAAAACTACACAATAATATCCTACCATCAAAAAGAATAGACTCAAATCATTTTATCAACTATATAATGAAGACTGAATGCATCTCACTCAGGCACAGCCAGAACATAACTGAACATGCCTTTGAATGCAATCTGGACTCCCCTTCTACCAGTCATTTTCTAAGTAGGAATTCAACTTCTCCTGATAGCATTCAATATTTTGCATTCATCTAGAGGAAAGCACTCTAAGACTGAATAACATCCCACAAAGAATAGCCATGCTTGAAATTTAAAAGTAGAGTCCCACATAGCCAATAAGTGCATAGAAGAATAGTTGAGATCTGTCTTTGAACTAGAGTTTCCAGAAATCAATTGTTTTATCAAACGTGAAGTCACAACAATCCCGAGAACTGTTTAAATAAATACATTTTCCAAGCAAGATAAGGCACTGTGCTAAATAAAACTGCAATCCTGGCTCAACCAATATAACAAAACAAAGACTAAATCCAACAAACTACAACAACAACAAAACCGATTTAAAACGAAATTTAAAAGCTCCCACAAGATTCTTCAGGACAGCTGTATCTGTCTCCACATACTGATAACCGATGAAAATTAGTCAGCTTCTCTACACAAAAAGGCAGCCTACAGAAGCCTATAGGTTCAGCAAATCCAGATGTTGGCATTCCTCCCTAGGTCCCATATAGCTAATCTACTAGGAAAATTGTAATTTACGTGACAAGTGTTGAATGTTCCATACAATAAAATGGCAATTCTGATCTCTTTTAATAGGGTATAAAAGTTTCAGTAGGTCAATTATACCACAACAACTGTGCTACAGCAGACCTCAAGCATTCAAGGTCAGCCAATTAGCTACAGAATTTTAAAGTTTAAACACGGTGCCGAGGAAGTGAAAGAAATTAGGACATTTGTTTTCACACTTCAACTGCTAGCAGATAAAAAAAGCTACCAAAAATACTGCACAAGCTTCTCTTCTCCTAGGGATGTTCCATTTTACTTTAGACTACATCTGAAGATCAGCTTTGATTCCCTAAATATAGAAGCAGCAGAACAGAGGGATCATAGCAGAAAGCTGAATATCATCCCACACACAGGTACCTGAAACAACTTTTTGTAAGAAAAAAATACAAACAAAAAAAAACAAAAAAACCACCACATCTGACAGAAGCATATGTGCTTAATAAGTACCATGATTTTATATTTCTAGTCAATATGTAAGAGCTCAAGAGATCAGAGCCCAGTGCTGAATATCCTTCAACATCATTTCTTTTTTCATCACGACATACTGGCAGTTTTAAGATCTTGGCAACTGCTGGGCTAACACTGTTCTTTATCATAAAGATTAAATTTGACACTGCATTTCATTTATGTCCAATAACTTTATTTTTAATTACTTTAGACAATCACAAGTACCAGGAAAGAGGCATTTAAAGCTCCTCCCAATAGGTCTCACTCTATCTGACATAGTCTACAGCACAGTGCAATTAAATGAGTGCCACAATAAGAATCATAGAATCGCAGGTGTTAGAAGGGACCTCTGGAGATCACAGAGCGTGTATCGACACAGTAAGAACTTTCCCACCTAAGCACCTTGAGCATATGGTTTATCAATATGTTCTCTTACATGACTACTCATTCACAGAAAGAGAACACACGAGAGAAGCTGTGTCTGTACCTGTTTGAGTCACCCTTGCTCTGAAATGGGTCTTCTCTTACCTGATGAAGGTGCCCAAGAAAGGCCTGGGCCTGGGCTGTAGAGATTGGTCCTCCAACAGGCACAGGCTGCTTTTGAAAGTCCAGGCCATTTGTTTGTGTGCCTAGAGGAAGAGACATGATGGCTATTAGCTATGATTTTTACTCAGAGAAAAGACGACTTAAATATGCATAACTCAATACAACATAATAGAAAAAACACTCCAAAGGGTAACGATATTTTTTTCTTTTTCACTGAGATGGATAAAAAAGGTTCTGTCAGTTCTGGGCTTTGCTGATTTAGCTTCTGTCAACTGAAAGAAAATACTAAGCTAATTTAGTTAAATTCTATCATTTTACCTATCAGGCGTACACTACTACCCCATCATTCTCAAACCATGTTAGAGAATCAAATGACTACAAGCTGCTGAAGTTAAAACTTATTTCAGTCCCACGTATACTCCACTCAGTAACTGAATACAACCTTGAAGTTCAGGAAGTGACAAGAACAAAGTTTGTATGTACTCATCTCTCATTAATGGAGGGAAAAGTAATAGTTGAGGAGAACAAAAGTACTGCATGCGTAGTTTTTAATCAAAAGAGTATTAAAACCGTAGTCCAGAAGTGCTCCCTCCAAATTTTCTACTAAATGACTACATCTGCAGAGTTTCCGTGACATAACATCACTGACTGTGTTTGCTGTCGCTCTCATCCACTTTCATATAAATACAACCTGATTGTTTTCCTCCATCTTTGCTGTCATCCTCCTAAAGAGCTTAGGAGACACAAAAATCCACAGAACATCTGCAAATAACCTGAATGTGAAGGAAAGAACTCAATTGTCTTTCCCTTGAACTAATTTCCTATTGCCAAGAGGAACTAACTATGAACTTTGAAAAATTATTCCATGCATAGATAAAGTGTTAGGGATGACCAGTCTGTATCTGGCATATTACCTACCTACTGTGGCTAGGGACAATAAGGAAGACACTGAGTTTGTCAGGCTGCAAGAAATGTCTTGAATAGATTATGCCATCTTAAAAGTTGTGTCTACAGTGAAGTACAAATGGCTTTAGACTTGCAAATTCACATCTTCGCAACAGATTTTGTTGATGCTTATGAACAGGTGTTTAATTCATAATTCTGAACTCCTTCCATCATCTACGCTATTTTTCTCAACAAAAATCTACATTATCTAATAAGAAATAATCAGTTGTTAAATCATGGGGGATGCTATTCCTTAGAAACATCAGCAAAAGCAAGAAGGCAAAAAATTTGATTAAAAATACACTACCCAACATCCAATATAATTTTATACTGCTGCTCTGACCTACAAAAAAGCTTACATAGATAAGATTACCAAAAACTATGCCACTGTTCTACTAGACACAGATGCAAGCTTTCCAGCACCAAGGTAAGTCATACCTGAAGGTGGCCATGTGATGTGGGTTGGTTTTTTTTTGCTGGAGCTGGTATGAGGGAAGAAATGGTCAACTCTATTTTTACTTCTATGGTTTGAGCCAGGGTTTACATACTTACAGACATTACTGCAGCCAAAGATCCACAGACACTTTACATATTTAAATTTTAAACTATGTAGAATAATTTTGCTCAATGAGTCCAAAGTTCCAATACAAAGTGCATGGAAGGACTATCACGGGTCTGAACTAATCCTGAATGAATGTGACTTGGTCACATTTCACCAAATAGAAGTTGGTAAGATGACCTGCTGGAAAGAACTACAAGAGTCCTATCTGTTCCCGTTCTTTTGAGTAAAATGCAGAATCCTCTCACTACAGAAGTCTAAAGGGAGTGGGAAGATGACTGGGTAAACATATAAAATTAAACCCTGACAAACAAATACTGAGTCCAAAGAAGCTCTACAACCCTCCTTATTCAAGCAAATGCTTTTCATCAGGTATTTTCAACCTCGCTGAGGAACCTCCAAGTAGAAAGGGAAAAAGAAAAAAACCTACTGTAAGGGAGGTATCCCTCCCTCCAATTAGAAACTTCCAAGGGTCACAAAAAATTATCCTTCTCAGAGAGGACTAGCTGTTAACCTCACCTTAAACAGCTAAAATAGTTCTTGTTGGCTGTTTTCCAAAAAGAGCCTCAAATCACGATGCTATATTAAAAAAGCACTGCTATGCATATGTATAGAGACACACTGGTTAGTGCTTCTGCTAACTCTGATACAGAGAATTGAAACAAGCCTCCTACAGTTGACAATACTGAGCTAAGCAAGTTTTAAGATTGAGCCTAAAATCTTCATTGATTCCAAATATTCATAACCCTCACAGCAGCAATTTAAAATGGTATCAAGTGAATATAACATTTTCCTTAAATCAATTCTTAAAGATCTGCAACTCCTTCTCCCCACTCCATCCAAATCTCAACTTCAAGCAAAAAGAAAACAAAAAAAAAACCCTTAAAGTCCACCTGTTTACTCTGTTCTACTTGCACCTTAAGCTTTCTTTGGTATCTGGAAGTCCCTTTCCCCTTCGGGTGCAGTTTTGGAAAGAATGCTGCCAGTTTCTCATATTTATCACAGGATGCCTACATCTTTTGAAGAACAGCAGGGAAAATGAACTTTGAGTTGAGGGTTTCACAAGTTTTGCTCCTAAGGTGCTCAGAAGGATGCAACAGCACTTCTGATGAATCCAAGAAATCTGGTAAAGAGACTGGAAAATGGGGTTGTCAGAATTAGGAGGTCACCAATTAGAAGTAAGAAGGTGAAATTAGTAAGAAGGTGAAAGGATCAGAGTGCTGCTTTTGCTCAAAGTAAGAGCTAAATAGAAAAAAATAACAACAACAACAAAATAACAGATTTTAACACAAATATTTATGTCATTCCCATCTCCATCACACCTCCTTCGTTACTGTTGTAATGATTCTGATAGTTCACCAACATCAAAACAGTGGGAGTGGGAAGTCTCAGTTTTCCATCTCTCCTATGTTCTTACATACAGGCATGTTATCACCGTTCTGTTCCTCCTGATAGTTCACGGACATAGAAGCAAGTGAATTCATGTTGCTAATGGAGTAGAAAACCCTTTACGTTAACTGTTCCCTTTCCTGTAAGAATTCCAAGTTAATTCATCCCACTGAACCGACAGAAAACCTAACTTAGGATTAGGGTCTGACAAACAGCAGATGGAAAGCACGGGAGGGCAGAGAGGTGGCAGCAAGGAAACACGCCTCCCCCCTTCCAGCAAGTTGTTAGATCACATCAAGCACTAGGATGTAGTTTGACCCTTATAACCCAAACCCAGTGCAACTTAAGCATCTCCAAATTCTGGCATAAACTCAGCTGCGTGGTTAGTTACTTCAGAGAACTGGTTTAGATGAAGACTAATAATGAGTGCAATCACTTTTCAGCCAAATCAGATCTCTGAACCATCTCATTTAGGGCCACTCCAGGGAACAGAACATGAAGTACCACATCAGCCTGAGCTCGGATTAGTGTTTACTGTCTTCCAATTACACTTCCTGAGGATAAACACAGAGCCAAATGGAGCAGGAAGGTAATACTGCACTAGCAGTCAGGAGAACATGCTTCAAAATATTAAGACCACAATTATCAGAACGTAGTCTGGGCCTTGCAAACTGTTCAAGAAAGCAAGATGAGTGAAGAACTACAGTTCTAGAGAGATGCAGAATAGAGTGTGAGAAAGTACCTATGAAAGGAAGACATGCAGTGAAAAGGAATATTTCAAAAACTAACTTGAGCACGCATCTACAATGTGCTCTAGAAAACATCTTTCAGCACTGACATTCCCCCCATCTATCCTGTGGCAGATGCCAGTATCCAGGAATTGGTGTTTCCTTGTCTATGTTATCAGTAAAAAGTTTAGTAGTTATATTTGTCCAGAATTCTAGCAGTTAAAATCAAAAACATTTCATGGTCCTTTTCCCATAGATTCTCTTCTGGAAATTGGAAATTCAATCTTGGAAAATGAAGCAAAGCAAACAAGAATATTTAGAATCCTTTCAAATTCTTAGCTATTTTGCTGTTATATCAGTCCTAAAACTGCATGTCCTAAAACTACAGCTTTCATAGACATTAATCTTGGCTTCCGTACTACTGCATTAACAGCTTTTAAGAACACTCATTAAACAAGGAAAAAAAACCCTCTTCTGAAAAGTTGTATGCTGTAACATACAGAAAGGAAACAGAGAAGGCTATTGGTATTCCTACACGGTAGAATTTTACCCTCCTCTCTCTTCTTTCCAGTAGATACTAAACGACCTGTTCATCCCTCTACTGAAGGCTGGAAAAGAGTTGTGCAATTCTACAATACTGAAGAACAGTTCATCGATTCACCTTCTTGTTTGAGCAGCCGGCCAACCACTCCTGCACTTATTGAAACTTTTGTTGTTGTTTTTTACTTATCTGAAATACGATTTAATTTTTAAGGTACTTAAAAGACGAGTCAAACTAGTACACAAGAGTTAAAATCTGTTTAAGGCATTTTCTTGTGACCAGTTTCAGGGAAACTTTACTTTGTTCCTTAAATAGCGTTAAAAGCGCTAAATCTAGTTTAACTTCCATGGAACTTAAATTATTAATTTGGAACTTCTGACGTTCAGCCATCTTTACCAATGGTAACTGCTTCTTTTCCTGGAAACATTTGCCCTGCCAAACAAACTCCATGCCCAACAGTAACTACTCTCAAAGTTTTCAAACTGCATCAGCTTACTGCACTGAAAGCAGGAATGACCCAGACAACTACTCTCAATCAGAAGACAGACAGGCAGTGCTTACACAGGAGACTTCAGTGATTTACAAACGTTACTGGGAAGAAGACAATTAATGAAAAGTTACGAGAATCAGCATCTATAAAAATCTTTTTGCATTTAATATCGGAGCCTATGCTCCCTAGACAATCAATCAGTGGCACTTCCAGTCCCTTACCATCACGACTTCTTTTCACTAACTATATGCAGAGCCCAGAACCACAATCTAAACAGACTGATCAGAAGTCTAAATTACATTCCATGACTATTCCTTTAACATTTGTCTGTTGACTAATGCAATTGATGCTTGAGCCCCCAAAGAAAGTCACAAGTGTCAGTCACTACCTCCAGCAGTTTATGAGCACTGTGTCTGAAAACAGACCAATGACTACAGAACAAAGAGCCCTCAAAATTTCTAGCTTGTTTCAGTCTGAACAAATAAAAAAATGAAAAAATCAGTAAGTAAATTTGAAATGAATGACCACGAACACTTAAGTTACAGAAGTGGTACTTGTAAAAGGTCCAAATACCAGTAAGAGTCAAGCTTTTCTTATAAAGTCATGTCAGCATTATAATATAAAAAATAAACACTGTAGTCTCATTTGTGATGAAAGCATCTACATGGAGCTTTACAATCCATCCCTTCTTCATACCACGACCATCATCTTCACACTGATGAAGTATGGCAGGGCAGCAAAAGCAGAGTTCTGTTAAAGCAGACGTTACACTTTTATGATAACGGACTCTCTCCAGATGAATTATGCCCTTCTCTGAAAGAGCTCAGTTGAGGTAAAAGCTGCCAGCTAAAGATGCATTTAAGGCAGTGCATTGGGGGATGACTCTTGAGAAACTGTACACTGAACTGCAGTCATACAAAACAGCAAGTTTGGATTTTCTCAGATGTTTACACACATGCTCCAGACACAATGAGTCAATTGACAAAGGATATTTAAAAGTATTTTCTTGATGTTGTCTACGATTATTTCTCCAACTTGTACATTTTTTGAAATAAAGCTATAAGCCATGCTAAAAAGCCTTAAATAGATAATTTTTTTATACATGGAAGTTACTGATACCTCCCCCATTACAAATACCACTGAAAGTACAGAAGCAAAGATGCCAGTAACCAGAAATACACTTCAGTGAACAGATTTCCTTCAGACTGACACAATCTATGACAGAAAACATTCAGACTCTCAGGTCAGTATTGGGAACATTCAGCCACTGTTAGCTCTGCTACAGCCTTGCTCAAAGAATAAGGAAACAGCAGAATAAAGTAAATTAATAATTGCAGCACAATTCCAAAGTTGAAAGTCTTATTACTGAATAAAGATGAAGAAAACCATTTTCCTTACCCAAGGCAACTAAAATTCCTCTCAACACGAGCAGTTCTTTCTTATTTTTTCTCTCCAAATGTTACACTGAGCTCAGAGAACATTCCGAGTTCAGTTAAACTATTTACTGCCTATTCAGAATAGTTAATTCTTGTTTCTAAAACGAACCTTAAGTTATCTGCAGAAAAGAATTAAGGCACGAGATAGCATGACTGAGTTCTAGTGACTTAAACTTCAATGGGTTATAAATTGGTCTCATCTCAATACAATAGCTGTGACACAAAGCCTATCTGTCCCAGTCAAACTTCAAGTCTATCCTAACACATGAAGACACTTCAGTGAAGTCCGCAGTTTTTTTAAATATTGAGAAATGATGACGCTTTCTTCCTTTGCCTTGTTCTTAAGAACAGTTGTAACCTTGACTGAAGTCTGAAATGGAAACAATATCAGCCAATGGCCCACATCTGCCAGGGAAAATAACAGCCTCAAAATAAATAACGGAGTTAGGTATGTCAAAGATGCATTCTGACAGGGAAGAATGAGATGACTTTATAGAGAGCTAGAGCCACAAGATTTTTCATGATATCAGAAGCATTACAAACAAGAAGGAGGAATAGAGAATCTTGTAAACATATTGATAAGTGCATGAGTAGTGCCCTACATACAGCATGGCTAATGACTTGCTTTTTGTACAGACACGCGGTGTTCTCAGGTCTCTAAAAACACCAGGTGTAGGAACTCTCTCTGTCCCTGAAATTCTACATGTGTTTTTTGGGGTTCTCTTCTACAATATTGTTGTTGTTCCTGTACACTGGCAAAAAAAAATAAAATAAAATAAAAAAATTAGCTTTTCATATTCATTTAATTTGATGATAGAAATACCTGTGTATCAATTAATCATTTCTTACCTGTGTTCCCATCTCCACTCTCCATTGATGGTTTACTGGTTTCTGACGGATTGTTCATTCTTGAGTCTGCATTAAAACAGAAAAAGATATAGTGAAGAACACACACACAAAAAAAATGCTACACAAACCTAATCATATCTTCTTGTCCAAGAGATACACAGAACATCTTGAATTCAATATGTAATTTACTCTAATTCAGCTTATTTTATAACACAAAGAATCATCAGAAGCAGAGCATAATATTGAGTTTTCCAGATAAATACAATTTCAACATTTTGTATGTCATTGTTGACTTGTAAAAGCATAGTGCTGAGGAATAAAAAGAGCACGCTGGAAGGCAAGGATAGGCAGAACTTAGTTTTCAGTACACTGAAATAGAGAAACAAAGAAAAAAAACAAAAAGGAACAACTATGAAAAGATTCAAAAACACTAAGTCTGACCACCAAGGACTACATTCAGCCATTATGTTTGAATAGATGCCATTTATCTAAAACTACATTTTTATTTTACAGAAATGCCACCAATATTAAATTTAATATTTCCTATACATTCATGCAAAACCTTACAAATATGAAATATATTCCTCCTCCTTCTCCCAATAGATGAACCTATTGAAAAGCCTGCTCTGGATCTGAAAGGTGTCAGCTAAATGCTGAGCAACACAGAGCCTTTCCAGATGGCAGACACAGAATATAGCTTCCTTATATACAGCTATACAGATGTTATGTGTACAGCATCAGCTCTACAACTTATTACCTCCTCATTCCTAGCAACCAGCCACATTGATGTGCCACAATAATGCAAATGAAAATTACAAAAGGAATCTCAAGATAGACTAGCTCATAAAGTAAAGCATAAACAAATCCTGAAGTACATTCTTTCATTCCCATAACCAGTTAAACACAAACTCAACCAGCTTGAAATGAATATAAACTTCAGGATATTCTCTTGCAAGGTGCTTAAAAGGTTACTTCTTTCGTCAAAGCAGTGATCTCCAAAATACCAATAAGCTGAAGAGGAATACAATAATGGTATTCACTCCTGTGTCTTTCCCCAGTTATTTCCAAGAATGCCCAGCCCCTCCATTGCTCGACAGCCCAGAAAAGAGCTGGAGGTGAGAAGACAGACTACTGCCATGTGCTACCATCTGCTGCCTAAAGGAAAACAGTGTGCTCCTTGGGATAACAGAGCCAGGGGCAACAGCAGAGGAAGAATACAAGTATGAATCAAATGGAAGGAACGAGCACTTGGGCAGTGCTTGAAAGAAAACAGGAGTTGCAATGGAACTCATCTGGGTGTACTGGGTTGAAAGAGGAAGGAACTAGTTAGAAATGCAGCTTATAAGAGAGAATCAGTAAAAGACATTTGGAAAAACTCCAATGCTCAGTTAGGAAACACGATTTAAGACATGTCAGTGTTTTTAAAACTAATGCAATTTTCCATGTAAACAAGTGCTTCAGTTGAAGCAAGTGGGGCCTAGAAAACCCAGAGGGTGGTAATAAATGAATCTGCCAGTCAAGTTACTTCAACCTCTCCAAAGTATCAGCTCTTCTTCATAGTAAGTTCCTACGGCTATGATTAAACCTTGTAAAGGTCAGCTGAGTATAAAAGATACCTGAATTGGCTTCAGACATGCTCCCTTATAAAAATTCCTTTCAGCGTGAAGGCAAACATGTTAAACTGCCTTTTGAAACAGGGAACAAGTGAGAACCATCCCAGCTGAACACTTCTGGCCCACGTTTCAACAAAAGGCTGAGGTTCTGCGCTGCCTTTCACCACCTCTGCTTCAAGGTACAGCCTAGAGCAGAGCTTCATTAAGGCTGCAGGAACAGAACCTAACAACTTCTCAGGGATTTTTTTTGTTGTTGCTTTTTTGGTTTTTGGGTGTTTTTTTTTTTTTTTTTTTTTTTTTTTTTTTTTTTTTTTTGTTTTTTTTTTTTTTTATATTTTTTTTTTTTTTTTTTTTTTTTTTTTTTTTTTTTTTTTTTTTTTTTGGTTTTTTTTTTTGGTTTTTTTTTTTTTGTCATTTTCCACATCTGGATAGCAACATTTATGTGCTACTAACTGAGAGAGTCTCCCACAGACTACACAGGAAACAGGCTATTTTGATGTGCCACTCACTGCTGGTGGGTCTGCATGAAAAACAATGTGTGTTTGTTTTAATTTAGTAGTTGCACGCACCTTAAATGAGTACACTGTTGTGGTAACAGTGCATTTGTTTGAAGCAATTACAGGCAAGGTTTGTTTGATAAACATCACTAATCTGCTCCTTCACATGCAGCTGGCCACTGAAATATGCTTGGCTTCTGAGAACACTGGGCAGGAGACTTCTATTTGGACATGAAGGACATTTGGACAAACATGAAGAGTGCTTGTCCAGCAGCACCATGAGCAAGATGGGCTCCAAACCCCATACATCTTGCCGTGAAAGCAGGCTAATCTACAGAGCTTTTGGATGTAGGATATATTTTTAGGCCCAGAGCAGGATAGCCTGAGCTCATGATAGCACTGATCACTGGAATGCACAGTCTAGGAGATCACCCCTGAACAACACAGGATCCACTTGCTCAAGGACTTCAGAAAGCCCTTCCCAAGATAAAAAAACAGGGACTCCTGGGCTACTCGGTTGCAAACTGAAGTATTAGAGCCAGCAGGCAGGATACCCACACTGGCATCAAGCTGCACCTAGGGGCAGGGCGGCAGCTGTCTTGCACACAGCACCGCAAGCACTGCTACCCAACAACTTCTTGCACAACATGCAGACTGTTTACAGGACAAAAGCAGAACTCTTTTCATAAGGCAAGAGATGTCTTCTTTCGTTTTAAGGTATTGTAAAATAATTTTTTTTTTTAAAAAAAAAAAAAAAAGGTTTTCAGTGTTTACTAATACTAGACAGATAAATGAAGTTGACTCAAGTAGCAAAAGTGAGTCCACCTGACAAATATTTCATCATAAGGATTGACCCCGAGAGTCCTCAAGTGTCATTACTGTGAAAAATCAGCAAGTTGGACACCAAAACATCTTTTCAGCATCGCTCAAATTCGAACGAAGGATGGCATCCATTATTACACCAGCTGACTATTCTTGCTCAATCTGTGGGCCTTCTGCATGTAAAGCATCACGAACAATGCCACTATTTCCATTGCAAATGGTATGACACACACATCTGAAGCACAAAACTGCCACCAGCCAAACAGACATATCTGCAGGATTCTAAGCCTACAGATTCATTATGTCACACACACGCACAGTTTATACGTACTCATAAGACTTCTGCTTCAGTTAAAGGAATAAACAAATGAAGTGAACTAAAAAAAAGTCCTGACGCCCTCATCCTTTTTCCTCCCTTCAGACTTTAGCTGTGTTTTAAATAAAGGCCCTGGGCTACAACTTCTGCCAACCTCATCGAGCAGCACACTCAGCAGGAGGAGGATCGAAAGCAGCAGGTGTGTGATTGAGATCCAGCTCTCGGAGGCGAACCCAGGCAGCACTCTGCCGTGCTGGCAGCACTGTGCCGCGCTCCCACAGCCCCTCAGCATGTCTCAGCAGGCATGCAGAAGGAAGGAGCAGGCAAGGGACCAGCCTGCAGCATTAGAATCTATGCAGACCTAGTAAAAAGCTAAACCTTAACCAGTACATCACTCATTGTTTCCTTTCACCCAAAGTGAAAGTACCTAATACTCCGACAGAACCAGCAAAAATGATTCAGTGACACATATGGGGAAAAAAAACAAAGTTCAACATGAGTAAAAACGTACCAAGAACTCACTTGAAGGTTTAGAGTAGAAATTCATTTTCAGAAAACCAATTTCATGTTCAGAAACAAATATTCAGGTGTCTGCTTTAAAATTTACCATCCAAAAATGTTCTTTATATACAGATACAATGCATTTAAAAATAAAAAATAAAAATAAAAATCAATACATTGAGCTCCAGGGAAAGAGCCTTGAAAATAAATAAAATCTCCTGCAAAATTGAGATTATCAGTTTCTTGTAAGTAACTTAAAACTACATTTAGAAGAAAATATGGCATGCCTGTTCTGCAGTCCTGATGAAATCTCAGCTCAGCAAATACATTATCCCAGTAACCTTAGGCACAGCTTGCAACGGTATCAATGGCAACTGCTGTGGACTCCACCTTATTTTCTATTACGCGCGAAGAACCTCGCTATTACATTAAAAATACACAGACATAATATACACTCTGTTGGGGAATGGCTCAATACGGCCAGTAAATTTGTGGAGACTGCAACTCTCTCACTCATTTTCATGTTTTAAAATTTGAAACACACAGATACGCAAGTCAAGTCTTAAGTCTCAATGCTTATTAGAAGCTAAATGCTTCTCACGTTGAAATCCAAAAAGCATACGGTCTGCATCAGTATCTCCTAAGCCCAACAACAAGCCCCTTCAGTGCAGAGGAAAAGAATTCTCTTGGATCGAGGGAAAGGGGAGAAGAAAATAACTTATTTCCCCGGTATGACACATACAATACATATATATAAGGCATTTCCTCACTGCCGATGCACTGGTGAGCTTCAGCCTTACAAGCACCTTCTCTGCCTCTGCATATGTGATTAAGCCTCTATGCATAGTCAACCTCACACCCTCTATTTCCATATTAAACACTTATAAGAAAGAGCTGAGCTGGTACCCACCTAGAACGTAGTCACTGCAGTCCAGCATTGCTGTGGTATCCTCTACAGGTTCAGACAGTCCAAGGAAAGGGAGAATGGCAATTTCTATCAAATCTACACTACTGCTCTCAACGACACAAGAAAGGGAGCGGGGAGGTGGGGGAAGAAATACAACTTCAGTTACACCATAGCAATCTTCAACTGAACAGGGAAACTTCAGTTGCTCTGTGGAGTTTTAGTCTCTCCTACTAGCAGTGTCTGACATTGTCAAGGCGACTGAAGCGTGAAAAGTTCCCCTTTTTGTAATAAAATAGAAACAAAGATTGCAGCTGGCAGTTTCCATAATGAAGCTTAATCAGTATGCGCCTGATTAGGGCCTTATGCAAATCTCCCCTCATTAGCACAGCAGCCAGCACTTTGAAGTCCATGAACAATTCATTTGCAGAGTACACCGAAAGCGCTCCCTGCATAATTTAAATCTCGGTATAAATATTTATCAGCTCATTTGCATATTAATTGGCAGTGCATGAAGGGAAAAATTATCTCCCGAGTGCCAGCATAATAATTAGGGAACAAAATGAAGTTTCTTCCAATAGCTTGGCTTCTCAGCCCTAACTCGAGCACAGTACCACAGGGGAGCAGCGAGGGGAGAGAGACTGAGTTTTGTTAAAATGCCACTGAAATGACACGTACAAATTAGAAACAACTCTACAGACTTAAGCACCTTTAATCTTATTCCTGCTGGCAACAATAACTTCAGTAATAAAGGGGATTTGGAAAAAGCTTTCTGCACAAACCAAATAATCCCAAGAAAACAATTAGCAAGGTAGGAGCCCAACACAGAGCTGTCAAACCAGTGCCTGCACATCTGTGTGGCGTTTTCCACACGGTAAGCCGAGCTGTCACAAGAAGGTCCTGGGCAAGAAAGAGGAACACCAGGGCAAGGAAGCAGCACGATTCTCTCTAAATGACTAAAGAGGCCGGTGATTCATTATCTGGTAATCCCTTTGCAACAGCCAAATTAACAGCAGTGGGTATGTTGAGCATTGTGTAATATTTGACACCCACTAATCTATCCCAAGTGAAATCAAAATAGATTTCACTTTTTTGCTTTCCAGCGACTTCCAAGAAAAAAACCCAAATCTATTATTAATCCCTACCACAAGCACACACAATATAGTCAAACAAAGCTCACTGTGGAGCACCAAGGCTGTGGCTTTGAACCACCCAATGATAAGCAGAGCCCGGTTGTGGCTGAAAGTGTAACCTGTCAAAGGACTGGGGAACACGCTACGCTCTATGGAGGAGCCAATCCTCTCTTCCAGATGTGTTCCACAGAGCAACGCTTACTGAAGAACTACAATGCTAGATTAAACCATTGCAGATTGCTTGATTACCACTCAAATCTCCTTGATCAAAACAGCAAGAATGTTAATGCAAAAAATTAAAGAGGAATTTGGACTATGCAATATTTATTAGACTGTGTTCTGATCATGAAAAAATGTGTGATGATCAACACCAGTGACTGCAGGGTTGGGCCACTCGCTTCCCGATGTTAATGTGAATTTAAAGACTGTTTTTTTTTTTTTTTTCCTCCTTGAGTTAGCTGTACTTTTCTCCTCATTTTTGAAAGGAACTCAAGCACCACCTCTCTACAGAAGAGTGCATAAGAGAAGGGACTTCTCGATCGTCCGTCACTGACTGGAATTTGTTTCCACGCTTGGCCTCTTCTTCTGTTCAGGTTCATATCTCTACTTAACACAAGATGTTTCCCACTATATATTTAACAAGTGATCTACTTGAAGAAGATGCCAAGAAAAGAATATACACCCAACTGCATGGAGACAACACGTACCAATTACCTTTTCCTAGCACCCTGCTTCTGACTTATTTCTTAGACATTTATGCATCCCATGAAGACTTCTGGGGCACATCACGGTTCCCAGACCTTCCCAAAACCTTGCTGTTCCACCCATGTTTCTGGACTACATTAAGATAATCCCTTTGCTTCATTGGCTGGGCCTGGACAGACGGTGACACTTGATGAAGCAGGAGCCACCGAACAGTGGCTGAGCTGAGGCAACCTGCAGCACAGTGCCAGGTCCACAATGCCATCCTGTAGATTCTCTTTGCACTGAACTGCTTGAACACAGGTGCAGCAGCAGAAGCACACAAAGGCAGGAAGTGACCGTTAAAGCAGGCATGTGTAGTGATGGATGACTTGTATCAAGAACAGAATAATAAAGCAGTAAATAAAGGCCAGGGAAGGATAAGCCTGAAGCAGTGTCAGCAAGTGTTCTGCAATACCACTGTGCTGCTCATCTGCTCTATTGACACTGCACTGACAGCTAACAAGGAAAAGGCAGAAAAGTTTTCTTCCTGTTCCTCACGGTGCCCCAACCAATCTTTCTTAGAAGTACCATCCCCCAACAAGCATACATTGCAACTGTAACTTCCACTGACATGCTAATTTCAATAAGGCCTTTTAAGCTGACTTTTCAAACAAAGTTTAGCAAAAAAAAAAAAAAAAAAAACTAAAACACAGTGCGCTTCAAGTGATCACTCCCTTTTTGATAATTTTATTATCTATTATGTAAATTCTGATGGTTTTGGCCAAAAACACTATTATTCCATCTAGGCCACACCACTGCAACAATTTATGGGGTATGCTTCTGTAGAAGACCTGAAGATCTAAATACAAGGATGTGGGGAGCGACTGAGTAGATTGCCTTGCTTCCAAACCAATGCTATTTTCCTATCCAGGTTCTGCCAACTCATTGGCTATCTTCCTTGTTCTGGATTCTCACACTGAAAGTTAATTAATACCTTGAACTAGTCACACCTGTGGTACTCACATTTAAGCAAAACACCACTGTGAGTTTTTCACAAAAATCATTATTTTTCCTCCAAAGATACCTTAGATCATTTTCAGGAAGAGAAAAAAAAGAAGTAAACTCTCTCAGTTTCCCATGCAACTATAGACATTTCAGAAGTTCTCTTCAAGAAATTCTGCAATGCTGATGTTGTTGAATTTTTCTTCCACACAGCTCTGTTCATGATTTGCTGCAAAAGTGAAGGAATCAAGGCCACTAAAATGGAGCCAGGTATGTCATGGAATCTTCAGTCCAGTGCTGCAGAAGTACACCTCCTCCACTATTCTCTTCACATATCCTTAAACGTTTCTTTGCTGTCTCTCCCTCCAATTTGTTGCTATTTATGGAGTTCCAGTGATTATAACTCGATACCTTGGTTTTTTTTTAAAGAGTATATCATTTCCCTTTGCAGCTTATGCAACTTTTGGTTAGACTTGTTCTGCACCTTCTCTTTCATTCTTTTTGCATCTTTCATTTATTATGGCCAATTCACTGATTGTCAATTCACTCAAGGGGGGGAAGGAGGGAAGGGAGTTGGTAGGGAACTACATAGACAATGCAGAATTAATGAGATAAAACAAAGTTATTAGCAGCATTCTTTCACTGAAACACTTCAAGAGGACAAAACACCTTAACTTTTATACTGGCATACTTCCGTATATTAGTAAAACATCATTGATTACATGTCCTCAGTGACAGCTAGGAGATTTCTGCCACTAGGCAGCTCTGTGACAAGTGTGACCTTTGCAAAACTCCTGACACGATTTCTGACACAACATGGCAAGACTGCTCAATAAACCAACACCACATTTCACTTTTGTATTGGTGTACGTGGAACAATACATGGTAACCATAACACGCCAGCATACTGCCCTCATTACGGCACTAGTGTCTAGTATATTTCACCCTGAAGATGACTGGACACAAAAGCTTTATAATAGTGCATGACTAAGCAATCCACCAATGCATACTGCAAACACGCAGAGAAAGGCTGCTTTCTATACGTCATTATAGCCAAGATCAGTTGATACAGTTAGCCCTAATTTGACATTATACAGAGCTACCATGTTTTAACTCAAGACATTTCCAAGTCCCTGTTCCACAAAGCAAATTAAACCTAATAAACATTTTGTCAAACAGAACTTCAATATGCTATTAATATATTTTTTAAATCACATACTTCAACAAAAATAAACTGATATTAACATTGGCACAATCCTCTTAGGATAATTATGCACAAGACAGACAGCAGCCTGTTCATAGTCAGAGCTGCAGACCAAGCTCTAATTTTAGCCACCGCCTTTGACTTTGGCTAACAAAACTGATTTTATGTGAAAATTGCTAAGTTCACTCTGAAAGCCAAGAGTACTTTTCTGGAAAAGTCAAATAAAATTGGCCTCTTAAAGAATTACAGGTCATTATACAATTGCTATGAACTGAAATTTTAGCCTACAGCTAATTTTACTTCTCTCTCCAACTCAAATCATAACTACCCTTTCAAACTTTCCACTGCACAAAGCGTCTTTCAAAATGATCTTGCGTACCTTTTTTGAAGACAGTTAAGCACAGGGACAGCAAGTCAGGAATGCTAATTCATCTTATCAGTGCAAGACAGGAGATACTCTTAAGTACCTAACATATTCATATAAACGGGTTTGGTTGTGTGTTTAAAATCTCACTTTTGTCCACAGATAATAGCGGCTATAATGGTTTAAGTCATCTTTACAGTAAGAAAACTGTGGTCATGAGATACTTATAGCATAGTTTGACCATATTGGAAGGGAAAAAGCATAACAGGAGCAGTGGAAGAGACAGAAGAGGCAACATTAAAGAAATAATCTTATTCAGAAACTGCAGTATTTTCGCTTTAAGGGTATTAAGCTTTCACAAGCAAACTTGGCCTTGCTTGAAACTGATGTCTAATACTATAATCCCAGTGAATGAACTGAACAGTTCTGCCTTTCTCTCACTGCCCACAAGTCACAGCTTACAAGAAAGAATCCATGTTGCATCTACAAATAAGTTTCACTATAAGTGTTTTCAGAAGCACTGGATGTAAATTTAGATAATTCTACTGTACAGACAGCCCTTTATGTTCAAAACCCCACCTTTGATCCACAAAACATTTTCTTAAAGTCATGGAATATTTGAAGAGTAGCAAGCATTAGATCTTCACATTTTCTGATTTAAGACCTCATGTGTCACCCATGTTTTCAAAGTTTTCATCACTATCACATAATAACTTGAGGATTTTTCTTTAATTTTAATTTTTATATTGAGCACGGCATCATAAGCA